AACTACGGACGCAAGAGTGGGGGTCCCAGGCATCACAGCCCCTTCTAGGGGCAGAACAAACATTCTGAGAGGCTCGGACCATGCAGCTGGGGCTGAGGGCGGCATGAGATGACCCGTTCTCCCGAGGGCTGTGGGAGTCCAGCCGTGGGAACCTCAGGACGGGCGCTTGCTCAGCCCCCGTCACCGCTCCCCTCCCCTTTCCAACCAGGGTGCAGCGCCTGCGTGACCTCGAATCCCGCTTCTAGCCATAATGCAAGCGGGCACCTCCGCCCTCCCCCCCACAGGGAGTAATTTGTTCTTCAATCCACTCAACGTCAGTCTGCACGAGTGTGCACAGCCGTCCTTTACTCTAGAACCGAAATCGGCCACAGTAACCGAGCGTTTAAAAGTAATGGTTACAACAGATTCTTCAAGGAGGCCTGCGTGATTCACGTCCACCTGGGGCCCGGTGGCTCGCCAGCCCCACCTGGAAAGGTGAGGCAGAGACAAGAGCATCGTCCGGGTGTACCTGAGGACCGCAGCTCCTGCCCTTGGCACTTTACCAGGGAGCTCCTTTCCAAACCACATCCATAAACCCTGGGCAATGCTGCCACGGAGAACGGGCAACTGCCCAGCCCCCGCCAAGGGCCAGCCGAGCCCTCACGGCCAACGGCGCTTCAAATGAGACTTCTGGCTTCGGGATCCACCAGCATGGTGTCAGCTGTTGGCACGCACGTGCGCGCGCACACTCACGCACACACAGTGGCTGAGGCAGAAGCATAGCAGGATGGCAGCTGCGATGGGAGGACTTTCTGCTGCATCCAAGTTTGAACAAAAACTCACAACGTGAGTTATTTTCTGTGCCGTGGCCCCTTCGCCTTGGGTGACAAGCCCAGCAGCGCATTCGTGAGATGTACGAAAACCAGGCGGGGAGGGCTGCACGGCCGCCCTGGGGTGCAGCCGCAGGGGCTGGAGGTGTAGACAAGCAAACTTGGCTCTCAAACGGTTTGCGGGGGTGGGGGGGCGGAGCCCCACCTGCCCCGGAAGCCCCTACCTCGTATTTGGGGTGAGCCCACCCACTCCTGGAGCCGGCCGCAGAGACCAGGTTTTGGTACAGAAAGCAAACCCTGGCCTCTTAGAAAGTGTCTGTCCTCACAGCGCCCCAAAGAGAAACACAGCTGGCTCACAGGCTGCCCTCCTCTCCCTGCGACCCTGCAATCAGCCGCGAGCACAGAGCCCGCAACGCCGCGCCCCCACCGCCGCCTTCAAAATCCGGCAGAAAACCTTGCGAGATGGAGCGTCGGTGGAAAAGATCACGGGATCGATCTGGGGGCCGCTCCGCCCGGGTCCGCCTCGCCCCGCGTCGGGATCAACCCGGAGGGGTCAGCCACGAGCAGCCGCGTGCCCCGAGTGCCCGCGCAGCAGTGAACCAGAGACGGCCGCCCCTTCCCGCGTCCCCCGGAGCCCCGCGCGTCCGCAGGACAAGGCACTCCACCTGCGGGGCCGCGCCAGGAGCGACGGGGGTCGCGCATCAGCCCCGCACCCCCTCTCGTGCACACATCTCTCAGCCACCGGCCGCCTTAAGGTCTCCAATGGCACTGTCTGTCGTGGCGCGCTGCGCACCCCCGGCTGTTAGCGACTTTTGGAGACGCTGCCGTCTGCGGGACGCGGCACCTGCTGACGGCGCCTGGCCCAGCCCGGCGCCCTTCGGCTGCAGCCTTCGGGGTCCACGGAGCGAACGGCGCCCCGCGAGGATGCCCTGCGGGCGCCTGTGAGGTAGCCGCCCGTGGATGCCCTGGCCTCCCCTGCCGGTCTCCGCCTCGGCTCCGCGCTGGGGTCCCG